CAACAAAGGCCTTGTCTTCAGCATATTTAATATGTTTCATAGTTTTATTATCTCGGTATTTCTTTGATAATCCAAAATCAATTACATAAACTGTATTACTCATATTACGCATTCCCATAACAAAATTATCAGGTTTAATATCTCTATGTATAAAAAATCGATCATGAACTTCTTGAATACGTTTAATACATTGGTCAGCTAACATAATTGTTGTTTTCAATGAGAATTTTCTTCCACAGTATGTAAAAAGATCTTCTAATGATGGTCCAAGTAATTCCATAACCATTAAATTCCAATCATCTTGCATTCCCCACCATTTTACTGCAGGAATACCTGTTGCTTTTGTTCCACTTTCTCCTGTTTCCATAAGTATTTTATATAAATTGTATTCATATCTTAATTGTGGACATCGTGCCTTAGTTGATTCCATTTTAATAGCAACTTCTTCCTCTTCATTGAATGTATTTACTCCCATGTAAATATCACCAAACGAACCACTTCCTAATTTTTTAACTAACCGGTATTTATTAGCGATCTTCATATCCATCATGGCTATTATACACACTGATTGATTTCAAGTTCTACTTACTTTTTTCCATTTTTATTTTTTTTGAGTTGAAACGCTCTTTATTTTTGGTTCGTTCTGCTTTTTTTGTTTTTACCAAAAGTAATAGAAACTTATTTGAAGGAATCAATTAGGACATCAACGAAGCAGAGCTGTTTGGTTCTGGGTTATATGATGTGACTACACCAAAAACTAAAACTATTACTGAAACAATAAATAGAATCACTGACAAAAAGAATACTATTAATACTACAAAAGGAGTAGAATAGAAACCTAATGATAAATTAAAATATATTCTTTACAATGATAAAAGACAAACAAACTAGAAAATGGGGTGTGTGGATGATATGAGAATAAAGAACATTTTTGAAATAGCCTGATTGATAATAAATGGAAGACACATGGGGCGATAAATACTAAAATAAAAGAAATTAAACCAGTTAAATCAAAGATTGTTTCTAATGAAGAAGAAATTGATCCCAAAACGAAAGGAATAAGAATAGATATGAAAAGTGCACTATATCTAATTAAATACTTCTTTTTACCTGTCATCACTTCTTCTGAAAACATCGAACATATATTACCTGTTACTGTTTGTGCTACAATAGGAAATGAACTTGTAAGATTTACTAATGGAAAGAAAACTATTAAATATCGAATAATATATGCATACCATTGAGTTTTTCCTTCTGTCCATCCAGAGCGTATTCCTGTATAACTTCCCCAATTTAAGGTTACTGGTGTTTGAACAGTCTCTCCAAAAGTAACAGAACAAACTGCACCAATTAGTCCATAAAATAATGAAGCAATAAATAATGAAGTAATGATCGGAATATGAGTTTTATTTTTTTTTTCTGCAGGAGCAATTATATCAGGAATACTAATATGACAAACTAAAGCAAAAGCAGTATGGGAAAATACTGTTCCAAATCCTGAGAAATCAAAAATTTTAATCTCACTAATTGGACCATCAAATCCAAGACGAACAAAACATGTAATTAACATCAAAGCAAAAACAATAACACAATATAACATCATTAAAAATTGAACAAAGGTTTGAGATGATAATTTTAAAAAGGATAATGGAACAACAAGTAAAGCATAAAATAATATTGATCCATAATATGTTGCTTGACATTCCCATTCTAATGAAAAGTGCCCTTTAACTGGACAATGTTCAGGTTCATTTTGAAATGACCACCAAATAGTTCCTATTGAACTTACACTTGTTCCAACAAAAGACCACAAAATTCCATAACAATTGACAATCATTAAGATATTAATTACAGTTTTAAACCATTTTCCAGCTGTATGAGAGGCAAGAGAAGTATATCCATATGCCTCATATACATCTACTTTACTATGTTTATATCCAGTTAACAAATCATTTCTTTTAATGTATGTTCCTACTCTTGAGATTGCTTCTAAAACATATAGTGCAGTACATGAAGTTAATAAATAAAAAATAAATAACAGTACAAGAGAAAGAACAAGACCAGCTTCAAAATATGCAAGAGGCATACCAAAAACACCAGTACCAATCATAATATTCATTGTTAATGAAAAAACACTTAATAAAGATATTCCTTTTAAATGGGTAAATGGTAAAACATCTAATAATGAAGGTTCTTGATTAACCTCTGAACTATCTGAACCAATATTTTCATAATCATCGACTACGTGAGTGTTTATAAAAATAGCACCACCTTGAGCCATTAACTTAGAATAATCTAAAATTATATTTTTTCAAAAGATGATAAAAATCCTTTTTGAAAGAAATTTTGGAATGTTTGAAAGGAAGTTTCTTTTCTATCTTTTTTTACTTTCAATATTTTCATTAGATCTAAAAATAAAAATATTTTTGAAAAAAGAACAACTTTTGAACAGTTAAAAAATTCTTTGTTTTATTGGTTTATGTTTTTCAAATTGAATTATTATTTATTTTATATTTAGATTAAATTGACATTTCACAAACACTTCACAAACCCTAATACAATACAAATTTCGACTCTCCCACTTATTATTTGATCATGACGTTATCTTTGATGGAATAATGCTATACTTTTAATTGACTATTATTTATTATTATTTAGTATGGGTGTTTATTAAAAAAGAATTCGTTATGATGAAATACTATTTATTTATTATAAATAAAAATATATTTGTTAGTTATGGCTTTGGGTTGAACGTATGGAGTATTATCAAAGAAAATAGTTTTGTTAAGTGGTTGTTAATACTGAAAGAGATAAACTATAAACAAGGTGTTATTGATATATTTTTCTTAAAACAACAATATAAAGAATGAGGAGTTTTAATATTCATTAAATTCAAAAAAAATAGTTAACACCTTAAATGAAGAATTATTTAAGTTGAGTATGTTTGAAAAAACATTTTTTTAAAAGAAATAAATTGTGTTGAAGAAACTGAGATACTCACATATCAAATATGATGAAAATCTAGTTATCTGGTTACTCTTAGTTAACTCCTATTTTTATTCTTATTTCTATCATTAACAATTGATTTATTAATTAAGATTAGTACATACAATGATACTAACAAGTATAAAAAACCTTATCTCTATTTTAATTTCTTAATAAGAAAAAACACACTAACCAAAGGTAGTATTTATAATTAATTATTTTATTTTTAAAACTCATTTTTCCTTAAACACACAATGTTTATTTGTTTTGAAGAGATAGTAATTCTTGGGATTATTGAATTATAAATCAATATCAGTATGTATAAAACAATAAAAATAGTTTCTTCATTATGTAAATACTTTAATTGTTGTTTATTTTTTTCTATTAACATAAATAATATCTATTAGTACAAAAAATAATTACTAAGTTATGAAAAATAATACTAATGTATAGAAGAAATATATAAGAGAGGTTTATTTACTATTTTTTTTTCTTTAGACTAGTATTTTATAAAGACATTTTTATTCTAAGAAGATGTAGTTAGATATTAAAAGTGAAATGAGTTTATTATAGGTAAGTGACATTTAATTTTTTTTAAATAGTATTAAACCAAAGCACATCTAAAGTCATAGGTTTTTATTTTGTATTAAATTATATTTGATTTGAAAAAGTGGATATGAATTTTAATTAATATTAAATATAAAATATAGAGTTATTTAATATATACTTTCAAAAGTATATTAAATAATATTATCTGAGAAGTTTGTATGATTCAATTTTTACTTTTTAAAAAACAAAACATATAAAAAGACTTTATTTAATTTTATTTGTCTGAATTGTCTAAAGCTGAATTTATCCATTCTAATGCATAAGCCACACCATCTTCTTGAACGGTTTTAGTTATAAAATTGGACTTCTCCTTTACTGAGTCAAATGCATTTCCCATAGCAACACCATAACCATTATGAGATACAGCCCATTCTATTCCAGTGATATCATTCTCTGAATCCCCCATATACACAACTAGTCCTTGGTAATGGAGTTGTTCAAGAATCGTACCTTTGCTAATACGTGGATTATATAATTCAATAATTTTTTCTCCTGAGCATTTAACTTCAATGTCATGATTATTATATTTTTTCAATAATTCCATTAAATAAATAGTTTCGTCTACTGTTGATGGATGAATATGAATACTCAAAATATCAGAATCTTTCATTTTCTTAACCTCTTCAAATGAAATAGGTTGAATAAATCTATCACAGTGCTGAAACTTACTATAATCAATTGGAGGAATTTTAACGCTTTGGTCTTCTTCTTCTTTTATGATTTTTAAGTAATCCTCAATCCGTGCATTGCCATCAGTTCCTCCATTTTCTATATCTTTTTTGTTGCATAATACTAAATAGCCACATACCCCCTCTTTTACAAGTGCTTCAATTATTGGCACACATGCTTGTATGTTTAATGGATGATATGCTAAGACTTTTCTTTCAGGAATTCTAACAGTTAAATTACCATTGCTTGTTAATACAGTTATTGGTGAACACCCGACACTTTCTACAATAGGTATTACTGTTTTTAAAGGTCTTCCTGATGCAATAAGAATCTCACTTCCAGCTTGAATTTCACGTTGAAGAGCTTGTTTAACCTTCTCTGTTGGAGTCATCATAGTAGGTAAGGTTAATGTTCCATCAACATCCAATACAATTGTTTTAGGTTTAATAGCGTTCATTATTTATTCTTTTTTAGTTTTGCTCAATACAGATTTGAACTAAGGTTTAAATACTATTAATCATGACAAACAAAGTAATGCAAAGAAGTAAAACTATTTATATGTTTTAATTAACCTCATCAACCTACTATACTTTAAACAAGACATAATAACGTCAACCATAAATTATAATAAATAAAAAGATCTGAAGACTAATTGAAAGCCTTTAAAACAAAAAAAATTTGTATTTGTATCTGTCTAATTAGTTTTGTACTTTTAATGCTTTAAGAAGTAAATGTTTCTTTCTTAAAAGAATTTAGAAATTTTTTTTTGAAGACGTATTAAAGGTTATTTTAAAAGGTGTTATTATCATTATACAAATAATGAATGGGTGAAGTATATAGTAAATTAATTAATAATATTATTCATTTACTACTGATATTATTAAAAAACATATCTAAATATTATTTGAAAATAAGTTTATAAGCATGAAGATAGATTATGAATATTTATAAGTAAAAAAGTGGTTTTATATTATTTTTAGTATGTATTAATTGTTACTAAATTTGAAATATCTTTGGTTAATCAAACGAAGATAGAAGGTAAACTTCAAGTCATTGAGATATTTTTGTTTAATAAAGCCAAATTTATTTACTTAAAATAAATACATAAAAAATCACTATTTTATTTATTCAAAGAAATCCTTAGTTACTTTATTGATATATGTTTTATTTAAATTTTCTTCATGAGCATAAATTACTCTGCATCCATTTTCAATGGCTTTTATTTTTAATTCAGTAATTTCATTTAATTCTACTCCATCATAAAATCCACGAGTTTTCCTTCTATTTGGTTGAATATTCTTAACAATAACTTCTGTATCTAATGGTAAGTATAATGGTCTTATTCCAAGAGGATAACTTGCATTATTTGGAACAAATCCAATCATATTAGCATTTGGTGGAATTGGCATTACTCCAATAGACTTAGAATATCCGGTACTTCCTGCTGGTGTACATACAACAATTCCATCACAACATAACTTAGGTATTCGTACAACTCCATTAATAATAACTTCAAACCAACAACATTGACCATTTAAACGTTCAATCCAAGCATCATTAAATGCAAGCTGAGTGGACAATTGAGTACTTCCATTTGAAGCATCAACTTTAAGACAAGGATATGAATAACATTTAAGTGGTTTATTTTGTTCAATTGAATCCATTACTTCTTGTATAGGATTGATTAAATAACCAACATTTCCACAATTAATACCAAGGTATGGTAACTGTAAATGATAATTTTCATGAAACGCTTTCAAAAATGTCCCATCACCTCCAAACGTCATTACAACATTAGGATTTACTTCATCATGAATTCGTTCAAATTGTCTGGCAACATCAGGAGCCTTTTGGTTGTAATCATCAATATGAAATTTAGCACGAATATGATCAATCTGAAGAGTAGTCATCTACTGAGACTAAGAACTAAATATCTTATCATCAAATTCTAATTAAAAAAAATAAGTCCACAAAATAAATCAACCCTAATTTTTTAAATTTCAATTCGTCTCACAATTATTTAATTTATGTTTTTTTTCTATCTTCATTTTTTGTTATGTTAGTTTTAGTACAAATTTGTTTTTGAGATTATTACATAGCATTACAAACTATTTTTAAATCTAAGACTTTGATAACAAGTGGATGTTGTGAAGAGGTTATAAATAAAAATAGAATAACTACATTTTACCTCATTTTATTGTTATTGATTATTCTTTCATGAATCAAAAATACTCTCAGATTATTTAAAACTATTAAGTTTCATCTAAGAATGTACAACAAAAAGAAACAATATTAACTATTGTCAAAATAAACTAAATAAGTTATTTAGATATCAAAAAATTATTAAATTATTTAATATAATTAAATAATTGGCATGTATTTTGCATAATATTATTAATAACAACGATTGATGTAGTTTTGTCTCTGTTATATGATGAATAATTAATTTGGTTGGTATTGTATTAGAAACTTATTGAATTAATCTAGTTATTCATTTATATATTCATTTATAATAATAAATGAATTTGTTTAATTTATTTTTAATAAGGATAAGAGAGAGAAGAGATGTTGTACAAAATTACAGCTGTTATTTATATAAGAGTTTATAATGTTCAAGTTCTATTTTATAAATAGTTTAGTAAAAATGGTATATAAAGTGTTGTGCTATACTTTGACTCACAAAAGTATCAGATGAAAACAAATATTCTAATAATTATGACATTCTTACTATTATAAATTTCATGAAAATATCATGAATTACAATTGGGCTATTCCTTTCAAATAATCTTTTTGTAATTTTGTATTATTAAAATTAATAAAATTATTACTTATGGAATTAAAACATTGTCTTCTAGAGTAGCTAATAAAATCTTGTTTATTTATAAAAATTAAAGAAATAACAATAAGTTGTTTGCTTTTTTAATTTTATGATGATAACAATATTAATGTTACTATTATTCTATGAAAGAATTATATTTGCAAGGTTTTGTTATATATTAATAATCAATCAGATAGTAACATTTCTTGTTTTTCAATTTTAGATAAAATTTTTGTTTTTAAAAACAAGTTAACTAATAAAAACAAAAAAAAAGAAAAAAGGAAAGAAAAAAGATTAAAATAGATTAAGTTATGTACGAGACATACTATTATGATACACAACTTTTCATTGCTTTTATTACTTATTTTGTTTTGTTTCTCTGCATTGTAATGGTGTGTATCAATGGAATGATTTTTACATCACGACAAAAAATATTTCCTTGTAAATGTAAAAAATGCCAAAAACTGAATGAGATGAAATGGAAGAAACCACTAACGATTAAGAGGTTTATTACTGTTTGTTGTTGATCATACAAAAGATAATCAAATAGTTAACAAATTAGGTTTTAATAACAATAGTTTTACTATTTTTATTTTATACCTTAAACAAACAACGAAACATATATTGTACTGAAGTTATTGAACCATATAATCCATTTAAAGTTTTAAATATCTCTAATTCATCAAATAGACTAAATATTGAACAACGATTTCATGACATTCAATTAAGATATTTAATAAAAAAAGTAACTCTTGAAGAAGAAAAAGTATATCTTCGACAAAAATATGCATATGAGTTATTAAGGAATGACAATAGGTTCTTGGAATGGAAAAGTCAATGGGACCAATTAACAAACTCTACTCATTTAATTGCACTACCTTCTATATTTCAACCAAATACTAATTTTATGTACACAGTCTTTATGATTTATAACACAACAATTTTTTTAATAATACCAATAATATTACTCGTTAGTTCTAGAATGTTTGTTAATATATATCTATCATTTTTATTCATTACCTCATTTATTTTAGTTCATCTTCTTATAAAACCACAATTAATAAGAATAATGAAACATGTTCTCAATATAAACAACTTTATGAAAAAATATTTGATAACTTTGTATCATTCTCATTAATCATTGAGGCAATAAGTTCAACTACACTAGTACAAAGACACATTACATATAATTCATATGACTCAAAATTCTTACCACAAATTAGAAGTAAAGTAAATCAAAACCTTTTAAATACACCTCATATCCAAACAAAAGAAGTTGTTAAAGCACAGACATTAATTTGTGCATATCTCATGAGAATTAAACTACCAAAATATCTTAAACATACTCTTTATTCAATGCTACCAGACGTAAGAAAAATAATTTTTGATTTAAACAATTACTTCTTCTCCAAGGGGAGTCTTGATGCAATGGTATTAACAACAAGAATGGGTCAAATGATTGCACAAGCATGTACAGTTGAGACTGAATATCTTCAATTACCTGAATTTCAATCAAGTCAAATAATCTGTATGAAAAAAATTACAACATCTCAATTGGGATCAATCAATACATTAGAACGCTTACAAAAACTTCATGAAATATGTTATAATGAATATCAACTAAATTTATGGAAAAATTATTTAATGTACTTTCCTGCAAATATGGAAATTGATTTAGGACTAAATAAAGAAATTAGTTATAACTCTCGTTCATTTGACTTAGAAATTAGAATAAGAAGAAAACTTGTGACTTACAATTTACAACAATCAATTGATCCAGAAACAAATCAAAATACAGAATTAATAGAAAAAGATAAGACAATTCGTAGTCATACACCATTCTTAAGAAAAGCAATTAAAGAAAGATTCTATTTATTTGTTGAAATAGAAAATCAACATTTAGTATGTTATAAAGAAATATTAAAAATACCCTTTTCATCAAATATATTTACCATTAACATTCACATTCCAATTCCTCTAAATATAAATTCAATTAATTTCTGCATTTATTTAATTTCAGGCTGTTATTTAGGATGTGAATATTGTATGAAGAAAACTATTAAATTATTGTATGCCTAAATTATTATTATTTAAATATTTAATTTTAGTTTATTCCTATTTCAAACCTCCTTTTTTTTGTTGCTTGTTATTTCATTTCATAAAAAATGATAATACTAAAATTCTGTTATTACTTTTTATTTTATTGATTTTATTAAAAAGTAAGCATTTAAATATCCTCAACAATTTCTTTAAGATGTATTAATTTCTTCATAATAATATGACAAAAATGAAATATCACTAAAAATAAGTGTAAATAACATAAAGCATATATTAACTTATAACAACAAATAATTAGATAAATTGATATTATTAATCTTGTTTAATTCTTTCTATAACATTAAAGATTAATTTAATGGAAATAAGATAAAACAAAAAGATACTTTCATTGTTTTATTAATAATCAAAATAATTTAATTAAAAGAAATTAATTAATAACAATAAATTTATGTTGATAGAAAATATCAAACACCTAATAATAAAAAATTAAAGAATGACGTCATTTTATGGTGATATTATATAATTAAATATATAGAATAAAAATGATAGAAGATGGCGACACAATTTGTCTCCTTATCTCAAATAAATAATAGAATAAATTATATTAATACGTAACTAATAATTATTTTTGTATAATAAGTTCCTTTTTGAAAAGGAACTGAAAATGAGATATATTTTTCATTTAGTTAATTATGACTTGTAAGTTAGAACGTGTTTATTTAATGAATGTATCGCTTTATTTTACAACTTATTTTGATGTTTTATCTTTCGTTCAAGTTAATAAAAAATGTTTTTCAACTATTAATGACCTTAAAGTTAATCCATGGTTAACAACCCCATTTAGTATTATTAAATTTGTTTATCATTTCAACCCAGAAACAGTTAATTGTTGTTCTTTCCAATTAAATAAACCTAGAATCTTCGATACTTGCACATTCATACGAAATCCGAATTTTCTTTTAATTTCTGAAGAACAACAAAAAAAGTTAATACCATTGTTTCATAAAATTACTACGTTAACACTTTATAAAACAAAAGAAGAACAATCAATGTGCTATATTAAAAATGCTTCAAAATTTACTTCTCTTCAAAGTATATTTGGAGACATTGAATTAATTGTACAATTTATTGAAAATTCATTTAATGGTCAATTAATTAATTTACGTTGTTTAAATAAAATTCAAATAGAACCTCAATCAAACCAATATATTTTTCCTTATAAAACTCTTCCATTACTTAGAAAGTTAAGGAATATTATCGGTATCAACAATAGAATTAAAGTTATATTAATCTCTTTTTATAGTGTTTTTAATCGTCAAGATGTTAAAGAGTTTGAAAAGATTAATGTTCAATTGTTTTATAAAATGCTCACTCAGCACCAAATAGATCAAGTCAAATTAAATTATACTGCCCCTAGAAAAGTTCTGGCAATAGAAGGAACTTATAATTGTGACAAATTTAATAAAATAATTGATAAAAGACAACCCACTGTATGTGTTATATTAATGGAAAATAATCCTCTCCTTAAAGAAGAAATAGAACGTAGTAAAGGTTCACTGTTAATACCAGAAAATATTACAACTTCTTATTGGACAATTCCTAAGTGCATTAAAGAATTACAATTATTAAAAGTTAATCCTGTTGTTGTTCAAAATACAATGAATATTGTTCCACAATATCCAGCAGATTGTTTTTCTTTAAAAACAATAAAGTTAGAACGATGTAGAAATATTTTTCTTCAACAAAACTTACCAAATCTTAAAACATTAATAATGAGTGAATGTGATAATGTCACAGTTCAAACCATTGATGAGGTATATCATTTTGGGTTAACTAATATAAGGAAGTTAATGATATTAAGAAGTAACGATATTCATATACAGTGTAATTCAAATAAGTTTAAAGAACTAACTGTAGAAGGAGGTGATAGAATATATATTTATGGCACTGTAGATTCTGTTAGAGATTTTACATTCTTAAGGGTTGTTAAAATGGTTCTTCCATCTTGTAGTTTTTATAATAAATATGTAAATA